ACTCTCTCTAAAAATCTCATACAACATTTTAAAAAACTTTTTCTAGTAGAGGTTAAAGTGAATGATTTGTGGAGACAACCCTCCTTGGTTGTAATGTAAGCCCTTTATATTTACCACCCATGGCTGCCCCAACAAAATCCTGTGTCCATGTTTGGCCTCTCCAGTCAAACCCCACTGAGCAATAGATCGCTATTAGACGTCTAGTTTTTTACAACCGTCTAGATTTTGTATATTTTTAGACGGATTTTAGACATTGCACTTTAACTCATTATTCGACAACTATTTAAGCAACTGTGAGTTACGTAACTGATCTCCAAGTACTTAACCAAAATAATTATGATAGCCGTTGAGCAATATACAGTGTAGTATAGATATAGCCCAGATTTAGACTTGGTCTAAATTTTGACATCTAAAAAACTTTCATTTTTAGACCTGTGGTAGCCTGATTTTAGACCAGTCATCTAGGCTACATTTGAAAGTCCATTAGACCTCTTTTAGACCAAAAAAGGCTCAGTGGAACACGAACAAATTAAAAACAAAACAAAACAAAGATTCCTGGTCAAATTAACTTACTCCTGTCTCTTTTGTTTGCTTAATTTGTACAATGAAGTTGTTTTGTCCACACATTGTGACTTTTGCATTGATCGCTGAACCAAGATGGGACTTTTTAGTGATGTGGTATCCACCTCTTCATGAAATCACTTTGATAACGACGCATATATATCATATATTTATATTTGTGCCACCTTTAAATGGGGTATTTCCTTTTGACTCATATCATATTTTCTTTTATTAGGTGTAAAAGCTTATCATTGGTTAAGATGACATCAACACTAAATTCGACTGAGCACAACTGTTATGAATTATCGATGAGTGAATAAATGCATTTCTTTGCAAAGTCATGTTCCTCTTTCTCTTGAAAAAGACTGAAATCACCATTTTGGCACTCTGATTTACAGCCTTTGTTAACAAAAGAAAGCACATCAAAGTAACAGGAAAATATCATTAAAAACAGAAGAGTTGGTTTGTAAACCTATACATGTTTTTGTTGGTTTGTTATTCCAAGAGAGAGAGAGACAGAGAGTCAGAGAGAGAGAGAGAGAGAGAGAAAGCGAGAGAGAGAGAGTCACAGTCATTTCAAAACCGCTCCCTTTCCCCTTAAAACAAGCAATGCATTTCAAAAACATCCTACAAAGTAAATAAGGCAGAACACCAAACATACAGCCATCTCTCTCAGTCAGTGAAGCCAATCATTTGAAGGAGCCAAGAAAGCAAACTTAACAGTTCTAATGCTCCAGCCGAGAAACTTAATTTACCAATTTGCAGGAAGACAAGATGGCAGGAAACAAGCCAATTTGCCACGTGTGCAGCACACACAACAAACCCCAGCCTCGCTCCCTGGGCCTCATGAGAGGTAATTATCCCTAAAAAAGAATGCCATGCTGTATTAAGATGTAGCCGCATCAAAACGAGGGAGACAGCCTCATTACAAGCAATTATGAGGGAATTAGAAACATCATTTAACTAAACGAGCAAATAATGTCCAGGATATTGAAGAAGCTGCCTGCACTTCTGCCGACCACTGCAAGTCCCATTACAAAAATTGTAGGTCTTTAATAGAATAATGACATGCTTTATCTTCTGAGAGGGTCTCGGAGCAGAGGGAAGGGCTGAAGGGGGGGAGGAAGAGAATAAGAGAGGGGAGGAGGAGGATGTGAAAACAACTGTTGCAGAGCCGTCCATCCTCAGTGTGGTCTCACTCTTGAGTGTGTAGCATAAGGCCTTCAAGATAATCCCCTTATTATCCTTACAAATACAAAATGGAGAGCAGAGAATTGTATCTCACATCCATTATTGTGTCAAAGGTAATACTAATGGACTTATCTCCGGTGTAAAAGCCCAGTTCTCTCCGCAGACTGCAGCCTGTAATAGTTTGATGCATATTGGACTGGGAATGGCACTTCAGAACAGGCAGTTCAAGAAATGGTTGGTAATTTAACAATGACACATAATGCTTTCGCCACTAAAGGCTCTAATCCCGATTTTTGGTTAAATATTGTTGGGGGTGGGGTGGGGGGGTTAACATAGAGGTGGAGAGGCTTTCATTGGGGTTCAAATAGCACAGCTGCTTGTGTTTGACCCGGGGGTTTAAATATTTCTATATTTGTCATGTTAATTCAACATCAGTGACATGATTTTACACACTTTTTATAGCTTGAAATATTAAGTTATTTTTTTGCATCAGGATTTGGAGCGTCTTCCAAAAATCATAACATATGACTTCTTTTTAATCCATGTGTCTACATCTCTCTTTTGCCTGGCACAATAGTATATTCCTCTCCTGTTTAAGAGGATGAGTAGGGGGTTGAGGAGGAGAAAAGGGAAGGAAAAGAGGGGGGGGACAAACACAATTTCCCTTCAGCTCCTTCATTTCCAGTTGATATAAACCAGAATCATGAAAAATCACTTCTGGTCTGAGCTCTCCTTTTTAACCATTAACCCATAAATACAGAAGCTGGTTAAAGCCGGCGGATGACAGGGCCTGCCTCAAAAACCTTGTTACGCTGCCCTCAAATTCATTTAGGGAGCAAACAGGTCTTGAGAGTTGTCTGGCTTAATGCATTGCGATCGCTTTTAAAACTCTTGTCTTGAGGCGGACCCGGGGCTGTGCATCTGCTCGTGGTGTTATACTTCATAATGTTTCCACTGTAATATGAAGCCGCACGCTCCCCTCTTTAAATCAAACGGCTGTGGATTTGTGGGGGAGGCTGCTGAAATGCCCCCATCCAAATAAAAGGTTAGGGGATGTATTGAAACACTGGAAAAGGAGAGTTAATATTTTAGATTAAAGCAGTATAAATAAAGTCCTGTTGATGCAGCCTGTTTAACTTTAATGCCATCTTTATTAAGTTAGTTTTGATCCACATCATTTTATCACAAGAAGTAAAAGCGGCAATATCTGGATGTTTTAGTGCAATTCATTATGATCCTGTAAATATGCTCTAAAAACTACCGGGAGCGTCAATTTGCCCATTGCTTCCTGTCTTTTCCTCTCCCTCTCTTCCTCTCCAGTCAGTGTGTAGCCCACAGTTTCCATTACTCCCATCATAAATTATAGTACAGAGTGAATTACACTTGCTTTTCACCTTAGCAGGCAGGTTTGATGAATCCTAAGGCACAACACATCATCTCAACAAATCTTCATCACCATGCCAGTCGCTGTCTCTTTGCAGTTTAAACCACTTCAAATCATTTTCATTGCCCTGCTATTAAAATTTGTAATTCACACCTGCCATTGCGGTGATACATAGTTATATCGAAACCCCCTCCTCTACCTCCCCACCTCCACCTATTCCTCCCTTTCACTTTCTCTCCCTTTTGCTCGTTGTTGCATCTCCACACATTTCACTCTCTTTCTTCTCCCTCTCCCCTGTCTTGTAAATCAAACATCCTCAGGTGACAGGTCATGCAGATTTCCCACAAGTCACTGGGGTGCAAACATCCATCCAAAAGCGCGTGGCATTGCCGTCACACCTGATGACATAATGACCACTTGGAAACTAATAAACAGCTTCATTCAACCAAAGCTATTGCTCCTTTTCATAAGCGTTACACTCTCTCATCCCTCTCTCTCTCTCCTATCTGTCACAAATTCATCCTCCTGCACCTCACCTCTTCTCCGCCGGTGCTGGAGTTACCCATAAATCACTGCTGTTGTCTAACGCTATCCATTTTCCCAGAAACACAGGGCGGCTGTTGCAGAAATTGGGTCAGGCATAATCTGCAGGGCAGCAGAGCCTGGCTCGTCATGATTCTGCTAGGTAATGTAGCCATTAGCACAGACAGAGGGAGAGATAGGGGTGGGGTGGTGGAGGTGGGAGGAGGGTGGGGGGGGGTCCCTTGTACATGATGTGACACCCAAGAAAAGCCGGCAAATGACACGGTTTTATCGCTCCCCATCAACCACGGGACGTTTGTGTGTGTGTGTGTGTTTGTGTGTGTGTGTGCTTAGGAGTGAGAAGTGTGTGTGATTCTGCAAAGGCCTGTTTTTGAGTATTTGCATTCATTAACTTGTTATGAAATACTAAAGTGAACCTAGACGATATATGTGCAGACTTGATAGAAGAGGAACCTGTTGAAAATCAAACTAGTCTTCGATATACTGTATATGATTTTACATTTTTTAAGGTGGAACTGAAACAAATTATTTTACAAGTAGAGTTAGGGGACTGGTTTGGTTAGTGAGGGTCTCAAAGTTTGAACATGTTTTCACCTGCAAGACCAGATTCTGGGTGGCAGATTTCAACAAGAGGTGTCTCACGTGCCTTTTCTATTTCTCAGTCACTTCTTTCATCTCTCAATTTACACCAGATTGACTCAGCTACTTGCACTGTTTAAGGATTAAAAATCAATTTCAAATCTGACTTTACACTCTTTGCATAATAAGACACTACTTTAGGTTTTTTGGCATCAAGTAAAAACAGGATGGAAGCAGCAGTGTGAGGTCTGTCAACGGGTAAATTTATGGTATCTTGTTGCGCATCCTTCTGCAGAAAGCTCCAATTAAAAATGCCTCTGTCAAGAGCCTCACACCCTCATGTTTCATACAGTATAATCATAAAGTCGACAACAAAATGAGACGTAGTGTAAGATGTGGGATGACAACAGCTACATAAACAGTATTAATTTTGAAGATACTCTTGTAGGTTTTTGTCCTCCCTTTAAAATAGGTTAAAAAAACTGATTTTCTTCAGTTTGATTTGATAAAACCTCACTGGAGGGTCAGGAAACATTCATTTCCGACTAAACACTACCCTATATTGTTCTAGTCATGACAGGATAAATTAGTTGTTTTAGTTTTTTCGCTTTTCATGCAACAAAATGAGATTGAGGTTTGAGTTTAAAAACAGCAAGTGTTTTTTTTTTTTTGTCTGAATCAAATATTTTCTTGCAATTCAAAACCACAAAAAAATACATAAAATGAAAGCAAACAAGCCCAATTTTCACTGAAATAGAAAATTTATTGAATGAGAAGGTTATTGTTGGAGGTCTTAATTACAATAGAAAGACTGATACTCTTCCCTTGAACTTATTTTTTTTTTTTCTGTCAGGTATAATAAAATGAATGGTGCTTTGCCTGAATATGACAAACTCATATGAAGGAAAAATCTGTGTAAAAGTGTTTTTTTTTTTTTTCTGTGTGTGGAATACATGTGATATGACTGCTAAACTCCTTTACTTTCAGGGAGGAGAGGGAAATAAAGTACAAAACTTATTATTATTAATAATTATACACATGGTGTATTTATACTTTTAGGGAAGCTTGATTGCTTTCTTGTGAAAAGTACATGTGCTGCATAATAAGAAATTTCTCAACAAATAAAGTGATACAATTAATATACAGCGGTTATGTGAAGACACTTATGAGGATGTTATTGTTTGTTTTTTTTTTTTTTTTACGTGGACTGCAGTGGAGAACATTACAGTAGAGTCATTCAGTACTCAATCTTGTTATACAGGTTATATAAAGGTAACGCTGGCAGGTTGCTTCCTGGGTAATACAGGGGCGTTGGAAAGGCGATAGACCGGGGAACCGGAACACGCAGTAAGGAGTTATCTCTGAAAACCAGCGGCATCCCCACGAGTGTCTGTGCGGAGGCGTGGGCCATGTTCGCCGCTTCAAGTTCGGCTGAAAGCTGCCGTTTCCATTTGTTCCTCCTGTTCTGAAACCACGTCTTAACCTGAGTCTCCGTCAGCTGGAGGCTGGAGGCTAAGCAGGCCCGCTCCGAGCTGCTCAGGTACCGCTTCATGTCGAAGGTGGACTCCAGCTGGTACACCTGACTCCGGGAGAAAACAGTGCGCGTCTTCTTCTTGGCCGAGTTGCCCTGCTTGTCCGCACCGTCTGTCTGTCTCTCCTCCGACAGAGGTGACATTTGGTGGCACGGTCTCTCGCGCTCCTCCTTGTAATCCTGAAGCAGAGGCTGTGGCAGGTGCGGCCGCCGCGCGAGCCCCTCATTTCCAGACAGGAGTCCTTTGGCGGGACCTGAGCGCGAGCCAGAAAAAAGGGACGTGAAATTAGCAAAACTGTGTGTGTTTTTGTCAGTCAACTAAGAGAAAGTCTCTCACTTTATCCCTCATACTCAATTTGAGAGTTCGTCAAGAGTGAACTCTGACTTTTTCTACTGACTTTTTAGATAAACAATTCAGCACGAGTACGCTCGCTGTAGTACAGTAAGCTATTAATTAAATCTCGCTCTATTTAACGCCCAATTGACGGCGTGTAGTGCAGCCATTTTAGAAACATGTTTCATCAATTAGCAGGCTCAATTAAATTTGAAACGAGAGGAAAGACAGAGGGCTAATTATTCGACCTTCCACTCTTCTGCTGCTGCTGCGATGATAGTATGCACATGATGGAACAAGTGGGAGTGGATGGGCTGAATGTGAGTGTTAGAGTCACAGACACAAGGTAATAAAATATGGGCTCAAGTGCAAACAAAAACACCACACAGCTCGATAGAGACAATTTCTAGCGTTTTTTTAATTGTATTTTTTAAGGGTAGAAAATAATCAAATTTTAATCAATGTAATGCCAAAGATAAAAAAAAAAAAAAAAATCAGTCATATTTTCTACTTGAATAATCTTTCAGCTCTTCTACTCCTTCAATAATAGTAATAATAATAATAATAATAATAATAATAATAATAATAATAATAATAATAATAATAATAATAATAATTCCATACCTAAACAGGAGAAATTGTGGGCTTGGTGCTGGCTGCATGGCTCGCTGTGACCCGTATCGGAGCAGAAGCAGTCTGCAGAGTCCTCCCCGCCGCTGCACTCCTCCTCGGATGACACGGACAGTGAACGCCTCCTCGGGGGTGCCGGTGGCCCCTTGGAGAGCTCTTTGGTGGCGGAGCGCGGCGCATCGGACGGCGTGCCCAAAATGGACTGGATTGTAAAGCTGGAAATCGGGCCCGATGAGCACTTGCTCCCGCTGTCTTCTGCGCTACTCATTCTCGCTTCATAACAGTATTGAAGTATTGACGGAATCTGTCTCTTCCTTGTGCGCTATCCCGTTATTGCTTCCTACACGATAGGCGCGTAAAGATTACGGAGCGTCTTTTGTCTTCTGCTCTTTTTTCCTCTCCCCCTTTAGCCTGTTTAATTGTGGAGTTTTGACAATAAAAGGAGTTGAAGGTGTTTTTTCTACAGCTCGGGGAACATGAGTGTATTCCTGGTCCTCCTCCTCACGCTCTGGATCAGAGGCAGCAAGGTTGCGTTGCTTCATTTGCATGTAGGTAAGCTCCTCGTTGGCCAATCACGAGCGCAGACATAAGCCCGGAAATTTCAAACACGAAACTTCAGTCAGTGTTTTAGATGAGAAGAGAAGAGCGAAAGGAAGACCAAGTGGACTAGAATAATTTAAATAGGATATAAATGAACTTTCCTTTTATTTTATGTATTTACGGGTTTACTTTGATTAGGCTATGTGAGGTTTTATTGTACGACATTAGGATTTTGGGTGGGATTTTGTGCGCATTAGAACTTTTAATGCAATTTAAGTTTATACATTTTAGATAATACCTTCTGAGTATATTCGAAGTTACTTATTGCGAGTTGTAAGTAAATGTATATCCTTTAAATTATGCGAGAAAAATCAAAAGCGTAAAAAATAGAGCAGTCTGCGTAAATTACGCATTTACTGGATTCAAGATGCAACCAGAAGTAAACCGAGGCTGACCCCACGCCAAACAACCCCGGTGTTGTCTTTTCCATAATTCCACGCATGCTTAATTGTCCGGGGTGACTGACTGACGGTGACACGCGCACAGCCTTGGAAGTAATACAGCAGCCTTTACTCATTTTTCCTGAAAATAATAAACTCATTCCGCGTCCATTATCTGCGATTAAGAATTAATTTGATCATTACTGGAGCTAATCTGCCTCGTGATGACCGCGCGTGGAGTGGAGGCCGGCTAATTGATTGACTAATTGATTGGAGGTGGTGGGGGCTCTGAGTATGGCGCGCGCACGCTGTGTCTGTGTTTGTGTGTGCATGCGTGCAAGAAGAACCTCCCCACTCCTCCCCAACTTCACCACCCATGCTCTATGTGTGTGTGTGTGTGTGTGTGTGTGCGTGTGTGTGTGTGTGTGTCTGCAGGACAGCTGCGGGGCTCAAGCCGGCATGTTCGGGCACATTATCCCTCTTTTACTGCTTTGTAAGGGAGCCCCAGACACATTACAAATGGTCAGCTTTAATCATCATGTCAGCGCCCTTCCCGGTAGCCACACGAGCCGCATTCGGTGTGAAGCAGACGGGCTGGAAAAAGAGCAGAAAACACCGATTATGAACGCTGATAACGACGAAGGTGAGGCTCTGATGAGGATGATGGCAGCAGACAGAAGCATCTGGATCAACGCGTAAATATCGTCAACATGGCAGCGGGGCTAGCAGCTGCTTAACGATCTTAACAAAACGCTTACGCCGGGGAGGCTTTACTGAAGGGGGGGCAAATATATGAGGGCAGCCGGGCCTGGTGCTGGATTTATGGTGCTTACACATAAGGCGTGAAATCTGCAATGACAGTTAAATGGGTTTATTTTATATGCCGCTCTTTTCAAACAAAGACCTTTGTGTCAGCGTGGCCGCCTGCGTCACTTTCAGACGACTTTAGCAAAGTGAGATGAGTTCATCATCACAGAGATAGTGGACACAGACACAGACACAGACACAGGCTGCTGTTGCTGCACTGAGTGACACACGCACTGTGTTTTTTATGTCAAAGGTAGGAGTTGTATTTCTTTCCATTAGTATGGAAATGTTCATCTCTTCTCCTCAGCGAGGCCCAAACAGTCTGAAACAGGAAGGCGCGCGGGGCCTAAGCTCGTGCTCTATCACAATGATAGGTGGTGTATGGGCGCCCTACCGCAATAACAGAACAAGATCTTTAGCAGGAGAGAAAGGTCTGAGAAAGACAGATGAAGTTATGAGGCGCTTTGATCTGGGAATCAAGCTTCGATAAATATTAAACAAAGAGCCCTTTACACGTGTGTATTATGATATATGGCGTGTCCAACTCTAGAATAAGGAAATTACCAGAGAAAATGATATCAATAAATTTTCTAAGTATAAACGTTGATTATGTTTCGATTTTCATTCAAGAAAGCGAGGCCTGCTCTTTTTTCAGGAGGCGTTTGTGTGTAAGAGAAAGTGTGTGTGTGTGTGTGAAAAAGAGAGAGAGAGGAAGAGAGAGAGAGAGAGTTGTAAACGCAAGCAGAGCGCACGAACCCTGGAGGTGTACAATTTATGTAATCTGAGTGTGGAAATGAACTGGGTAATTTATTGGAAAACACAAAGTCAGGAAGATTGGATCAGTACAGCCTATCCACAGGCTCCTATCCATCAAGTTCCAATTAACAACCTAACCATTGAGTTTTAATGGCTTTCCAATCTACTGCCCTGATAGACTCATCAATTCCTCGGGGAGAAATTAAGAAAATCGACCGCCCCTCGGCGTTTCACTGTCATTCTTCACAGCAACTATATGTCAAATTAAAAACACAATTAAAATTTAAACTGTTCCAATCAGACGGTGCCCCGCAACCTATGTTTCACTTAATAGAACTTTGATGAAAATCTGATGCTCTGCATTCAATCAGCAAAGCAAATGGGATGGCTTTAACACAAGATTTCCCCCTCCAAAGAGATGTCAAAAGAGTGGTTCAACTGCGTGGGCTTGTGTGTCTGACGCGTCACGTACACAGAGACAAGGAGGGGATCGGGACACATCATGTTTGGCTCACCAGAAGTTTGGATCTGTAACAGAAAGTATTCGTCTGATGCGTAATTGGATGAGCTTTCCCACACACACACCTTCTCCTCTGGCACATATCTACTTCAAATATTTAGATATTATTTCTGAAACCTTTCACTTAGATGGAAAGGACATCAGAAAACCAGAGAAAACCTAATTTGTCCAAGATGTTTTCTGTTTTAATCTTTACGCACAGACTTTGACAGCTGGAACAAACTTCCATCAGCCAGAGAAAACCTAATCTGTCCAACACGATCATGTTTTGTTTTCATCTTTACGCACAGACTCTGAGTGACAGCTGTAACAAACTTCCATCACACATGTTATCATCCAGCTTTAATTCGGTGCTCTGTCCACATGTGTGTGACCAAACTGGCTCTAACACCTCCGATAAGGTTTAAAATCACCCATTCAGCTCTCAATTCTAATGCAATACTCTGAGCGCAGTCTCCGGTCACGTCCGTTTGCCCCCGTTTCTACAAATGTACTTTATCTGATTTTTGGCCCCCCTGCTCCTTTCCCCTCCTTTACATAAAGATGTCGCCTAAATGGAAATTATCGAGTGGTAATTTTTTCAATTTATGCGCGCGAATCAAGGTCATACGCCGGGGCCGAATCGGCGCGTGAACGTTGCTCTTACTTGACGCAATATGATGCAGACGTTTGCGGATCGATATGTGCCAGAGGAATAATGCCATAGCAATCTATTAATTTGCAGTAATGGGTCCGCGTTGAGTGTGCGCGGTAGGTACGCGTCAATACTTGGGTGATCTGACGATATTTGAATGAACCCTTTGTCTCTTGATGAGGTCATCATGGAGTTTATTGCTGAAGGATTCATTCCCAATAACTGCAGATGAAAACCGAAAATGACCTTTCAGGCAAAACCACGAAGAGAGAGAGAGAGACTGTGGGAAACACGTGCCTCTGTTAATGACTTTTTACTCATTATAGTTCGATATTAAAATTCAACACTTTTATCTGTGATTGTCTCAGACTTAGAGGAACACATACTCTGTTATAAAAAGTGTTTCTGTAGAAGAGATAGTGCAAAAGGATCGAGCACCTGGATGCTCCCAAACTGGCTCCAAATCTTTTTTTTAATTCCTGTCTGTGCGTCAAAAGCACTTGGATACTTGGATAAAGGAGAACACAGTAGACATCTGTGCATCTTAAGTCCACATCCTAGAGGTGAAACACACTCAGAGTTCTTATAAAATCAAAATCTGTTAAAATTAAACACTCTGTCTAAAATGCATATTTTATTTAAGACAGGCTATATTCCTGATACTTATATATTTTTAGTCTACTCACCTCTTACTTTGTCATAAATGGGACTAAGCTATCCAGTTTTATATCAGAAAAAGATAATGAAAATATATAAGGACATTAAAAGCATAAATCCTCATTATATCTTATAAAGTATATATTCAAGCCCAGGTTAAGTTTGACCTCTATCTTTTGAATATCGAACTTTTTCTCACTTAATCACACTTTATATCAATTAACATCTACATTGGTTCGGGCAGATTTCAGCATTTACACTTTATTCTGAAATCTATTTTTTTTACCATTTCAAATATGAAGTATCTTAAAAAATGTGTCAAATTGACTGTCATAATGTTCAAGCATTAAAATGTTAAATTCGCACTTAAAGTTGTAGCACAGTCCCATTATTTGTAACTATTTTGCTATTTATTTACACTTGATAAATTCGACTTGATAAATGATGTTAAAACGTTTAGGTTTCGGTGAGATATAGTGTGATAAAGAATTAAGTGACACTATCAGGGGTGATACAAACTGCCATTTCATCTAACTTAAAAATTGAAATTATCCTCATTTTACCAAAATGTCATTTTTTGGTCCATTTTTTAATATATATAATCAATGAAACTATTCTGAGATGTTGGCAAAAGCTCTAAAATCATTGGAGTATGCTTGTGATATTTTAGCCAACTGTTTGCAACATTAAAAAAAGTGTGCAACCTCCAAAAGTAATCTAATTTTGGCATAAAATATATATATACATATATAAACGTATGCTAGTACGGTTACACAATTAAGACGTTGCTGACCATCCAAATGAATAAACAAATGAAATAATCACTCAACAGTAAAACTCTGAAAACCAGTGAGGTGGAGTAACAAGCCACAGATCCTGACACCAGCTTCATAACACACATGCACTCCCTCCTCCCTACACACACACACACGCGCGCGCAGACAGACACCCACAAGGCCAAGAGAGGGGGAGAGAAATGTGAAAAGACAGCAGCTCACACTCAGGGAGTAATGTCCTCTTCTGAATACATTACCCATAATTTTGGCAAGATGGTGCCAATTACGCATCTAATTGACCGGGCCACTTTTTATGTAAAACAACGTTTTTTAAAGTGCATAACACTAAGATGATTACAGAGACCCACCTGCTCAAGCTACAAGTGTGAGTATGTGTGTGTGTGTGTGTGCAACTGTTACCAGAATATCAATTCGGTCTATCTTCTACTTTGAACAAAATTTAAGTCTCTTAGCGCATAAATTAGAGAAAATTCGTGTTGCTGTATTTACAAAATTAAACATTTCATCATTAAATTACTCCATTCAGTCTGATGAGGTTCTAATACTGAGGGTTTCTTCTCCATGAGTGGATACAAAAGTCGTACAAAAATATCCTAAAAAGTGAGGAATATTCTCCTTTTATTTCACAACATGGTTCAGCAATACAATATCAAAACGTTGTTTTCTTCTGTACAAAGGAGACACCGAAAGGAGCAGCTCCTCTCTCCCCTCTTCGTGTCTCTTTAAATATATACATTTACAGATTTGTACATCAGTGTTTAGTCGATCTTTTTGCCCGTTCAGAAACACAAAGTAGATTCGGACACACTGGAGTTCACGCTTGTGCTTGAAGGACGTGTCCACTAAGAGAGAACAAGAGTGAGAATAATCACTAAAACTAAACAGAAAGCTACATGATTACTTTACAGTCCAGAGTGTCCTGATTGTCCCCCGTCACGCAAATCCTCATAATGATATTCCCTCGTGAGAAAATGGAAAAAAGTCTATTTCTGCTTGAGTGGATTTGTTAATTCACAGCTCACCTTAAGTTTATTGCACACTATCTTTATGAAACTGTGAATTAAGTGAAATAATGATGTCAAATGAGAAGCAGGCACGCGCCTTTGAGCCGTAAAGTTTTGTAATTTTGTAAACAAACCCTTTTTTTATGTTTTGTTTTGTTGGCCTGTAGCCGTAACAGTCATGGTGGAAAATAAAGGAGGAAAAAATAAAGACACTCAACAGGCAGTGTAAGCAGGTGGACTCCTGAGGCAATTACTACATTTTTAATAATAATAATAATAATAATAATAATAATAATAATAATAATAATAATAATAATAATGGGATCTGATTGGTCGGTTGGAGTGTAAACGACACCCTCGTGAAAATTGACACATTATATTTCCCACACTAGGTCCATGTAGGCCTGACACTGTCCCTCTTTTTTTGTTTTTTTCTTCTTCTTCATTCAGTCTGTTGTACAAAAATATTGAGTCTGTATTTTTTTACTCTGAGGAGGACATCCCTTTGCCTCAGCTCTTCTCAAACCGGTCGAAGCAGCGGTACGGATGTGACGATGGGATGGGAGTAGTAGACGCCCGGGTGCGGGAAGGTGAGCAGCGGCTGGCTCGCGGGGACGTTGGCGCCGGAACCCCCGCTCTCGGAGGCCGAGTTCTCGTGGTAGAGGATGGGCACCCTGACTATCCTCTGCGCCGCCGCGTGGCTCAGATTGGCGGCCTCCAGCTCTGCGGCGAGCTGCCGTTTCCACTTGTTCCTCCTGTTCTGGAACCAGATCTTCACCTGAGTCTCCGTCAGGTGCAGAGACGCGGCCAGGCCGGCGCGCTCCGAGCTGCTCAGGTACCGCTTCATGTCGAAAGTGGACTCCAGCTGGAACACCTGGCTCCGGGAGAAAACCGTGCGCGTCTTCTTCTTGCGGCACGGCTTCTTATCGTCGTCCCTCTTCTTCCACTCTTCCAGTTCGTCTTTTTTGGCCTCCTCCGTGTCGCTCTCCTCCAGGATGATCTCGTCGCCGCTTTTATTGTTGTTGTGCTCGTCATCCTCGTCGTCGTCTTTGGCGTCTGGTTCAGATTTTAGGACGAGCTCTGGTGAGTCTCTATCTGTGCCCGAGGTTGGAGAGGAGTCTCTGACTGCTTGTTTCTCGGTAACTGAAGAAGGGGGAGAAAGAAAGAAGTGGACATAAACACCTTGACATTGCAGATAATTTACTTATTATTGAAACTCAGATTGTAAAATTTGGAAATCAAATGGTTTTAAAAGCAGAGATAATCATTTTGCCACTATTCCAAATAGGCCTAAACAACAATTCTCAAACAAATTCAACATCTAATTGTTACCCCAACACACTGAAATGAAAATTCACAATCAATTCCATAATTCAAAAGACATTCAAACTTTTTCTTTCTTTGCCTGAACACTTGATACTGACATTGCTATCAGCGTGTATTACATCCCCTCATGAATAAATCACAGAAACAGGCAGGTAAAGACGCTGTCAGTGACCGAGCCTCTGGGGGGGAATACCGAGCGCCAATAGACAAATCAAAAGCTCGCTGCGCATCGTCACCCTCATCCTATGATTTGATGATGTCTACTTCATTTTATGCTCAGTGTGTCACTTTATTGATCTATTATCCTGCGTCGTGGCATAACAAAATAAGCCTGCACACAGAGGAACGAGGCTTCGATACACTGCGCGTACACCCCGTATCATAACGCACACTATCTAATTTTGGAAAGAAAGTACAATGACTGTAAATAAAGTGCCACAAAACGGACAGGGAACACTTTCTATGATTTAAATGCAAAACTCGAAATATAAAATGTAGTTAAAAGAGCAAAATCTAGCTTCAAAGTTACATTTTCTGTGTGAGTCTTACCTTCGGTTCTGTGTAGGTGTGCGGACGTGCCGAGGGTGTAGGGATACCACCACGCCGAGGTGCGCTCCAGGTAGTGAGCCGGTAGACTGAACCTCTGCGCGGGCAAGTCGAAGCGTGGAAAGTTGAAGTCCGCGACCTGGGAAAGAGAAAATCCTCCTTCCAAGGCCGCCCTCGTGGCAGCGAGCACGGGTTTGGGTTTGGACGGTTTGCTGTCACAGTTGAGCAGGTTCTTTATGAAGAAAGGAGAGTCCTTGGCCGGAGCGCACGTCTCTTGCGTTGTCTCTGGCATCGCTGTGGCAATGGTCTGAACGCTGGGGGACCACGGGAGCAGGAATTAAAAGAGGAGGGGGGTAAAAAAAAACACACACAAGGCTGACTTGCAGGTTGTGGATACCCTTCCCGTGAGGAGTCCCTGTTTTGGTATTCTCTTGGATTTAACGCAGGAAGGCTCGATTTCACACCTGAGCGCGTCAAAACACGCGTCCGTCTATGCTAGATAAATAATGAAATAAAATGTTGGAGCGGCAAAAAGATGCGTGAAACCGCGGGGATGTGTCATTCCGGGGCTCTTTCGTCAAAACGCAAAACCGTGTCCACCGTGTCAGTCAGTCTCGCGTCTGATGCTAATGATGAAATAAAAATGTCATCCAAGTTAAATGCGGAAAGTATAGGCGATTGGGCATGTACAATGGCAAATGGGATTAAGGGAGAGACGGTGAGGGGAGAGAGAGAGAGAGAGAGAGAGAGAGAGAGCATCCTCCCCCCTCTGCACGCTCTGGCTGCAGGCTGTGTGTGCTCGCTTGTTATTGGTCTCATACAGTCCAATTAGGCAGCAAATGAGCACGAGACTCTTAGCGCCAAAAATGAAGGTGTAGAATAAATACCATCAGGACATCACTTCCATTTGGACTGCATTAGTTCAACCATAAAACAGTTTTTTTATATTATTATTAACAGGAAAAGTTAAACTACGTGCGCAAAAATCAGCTGTTGTGAAAAGATCTTTGTCATTTTCTTTATCATGTCATTTTTATTTACTGAATATTTAGATTACATCATAATTTAGTCTTTGTAGAATAAAGGCCTTCACTCAAAGATTGCACCGAGGCCTTTAACTCTTCCTTTTTTATTGAGTCTGTTCAAAAACAATGAATAAAACGTAAAATATTGGCTCAAATATAAACTGATATACAGGTAAAATATCAGCAGCCTTTCAACAGCTACTCAAAACTAATATGGCAATCTGATTGGACTGGAAACCCATGCAAAAGAGAAAATAAAGGCGATTTCAAATAGTGCAAAACTACCGTAAATATATATGTCACAAAAAAAAAATCTGTATCTTCACAAAACACTTGATCAATCTAATAGTAAACAGTCACAACACCAGGATTTAGCCTGTCCCCAAATGTTCATGTATCAGGCCTGTGGATCCTCATCGTGTCACCACCAAAGGCCGATTAGATTCATATTTCTAATTCATTGATTTCCAGCTAAGGCCACTTCCAGCATGTCTGTGGGTCGCACACTCATTTATTCCTCCCTAATCGATTTGGTTAATTCATCCCTCAGATTGCACTCTTTGTAAATGTGCTATGTATATTCACTCATTGATATTAATTGACTTGTTAAAAAGCAGTCCATTGGTTGGTGGCTGCACGGTGTGGTGGTGGCAGAAGAAGAAGAACGAGGAGACAGCGTCCTCTATGGGCCACGAGAGGGACATGCAAGTGTATCAAGAAGAGCGTGAGGGGGACGCTTGTATTAAACACATTATGGGGACCAAATCCCAATATGGGGTGAAGTAGCGCCTTACAAGACAAGCAGGAAAATGAAGGGTGTGGATGTGGGTCATGTTAAGGACAGGATTTAAGGGCTAAAGGATCGTCCTCTAACCAACACAAATGGGCCAAACCCAGTATTGCAGAGAACTGTTATTTCTATTTGTCTCTTAAGAGAGTTTGATCATTTGGTGTTACCTGGATTCATTCAAAGACACCCCTTACCTGCAGTTTGTGGCACTTACTCATGTTGTTTCCTTCTGTCTAGATCTTTGTCATACAAACTCTCAAAATATGTCGCCTTGGGCCAAAGTGTCTGCTAAATGACATTGTAATATTTTGATGGAACTTCCTGCTTATACGAAGTTTGGACATCATGTCCAAAGGTCGACATGATGTCCAAGTCATACACCATGTCTATCTTTGGAAACCGTAAGCCCTTAGAAACTGGTCAGTATACACTCCTGGAGAGTCAACAAAGTCACAATTCATATATATATTTGTAATATTATTTTGCACCTTATCATAGAGGGCTTCCTACCATGTTCATACTGTCCCACTACGGTGCTGGCATCAGAAATAGTGATTATGATCGACACATACAGCAAGTTAAAATGAAAATAAAGGACATTGTAGTGATAAAAAGGGTTAAAAAAAAGAGGGTGGAGAACTGAGTAAATAAAACACAGCTTAATGTCTGATGTTGACTGTGTGACCAAAGTAGTAGATAAGATATTGAGATTTAATTTTTGGGAGCTGTTTAGAGAGCAAATATCATCACTATCATCTCTGTAGTGGACTTGTGAATAATTCTTGGCCTGATTCTTGGGGTTAATTTTTAAAAGCTAAACAGATACTGGGTCAGTATTATTAAAGACATAAATAAATATTTAGTACATGTGCATGCTATAACCTACAGTATTGGTCTTACATTCCCAACTGGGAATGAAGGGACACCACTCATGCTAACCCTGAAACAACCTGCACAAACTAAGAGAGAATTTCGTTCATATCATGCATCAATTAAAAACACGCAGTGCACAGTGCCTGGAGGCCATAGGCCTTCTGAATGCTCCATAAGTCTATTTTTGTTGCTCCTCGGGTAGGTTACTATGACTTTTATATTATTTATTTCAAAGCGCCTAGATATTGATTATTTCACAAGGAAAAATGACAAATGGCAGGAGGGAATGACACGGTCAGCAGGTTCTATTAGAGAAATGATAGTGTTGCTCATGGTTTGTTAAAAGGTCCAGTTTAGATACTTTATAGGTTTACATCCATCATCATCTAATGACCTATTTGATGAAAAACACGCGCTCTGGTGACAACAGCCCTGTGCAGCCAACTTCGCTTTGTAATTGCTCCCATATTAAATATAGATTTTTGTTTTGATATCTTGTGAGAATTCCTTTCTGTGGGTCAAGATTGTGATAAAGGACATAGATGCAACGGCACAAGCTCAAAGGGAGAAAAACGGGGGGAAAATGGAAAAATAGGAGAGTATGTGAGATGTCGACAATGGTACTGTGAGTTTGTGATTTTGAGTTCTGAGCAGTGGCGGAGGAAGTATTCAGTTTTTTTTTGCTAAAGAGGAAGTGCAAAAAAGTGCAAAATCAAAAACACTAAATTTAAAAAATGAGTAAATGTTATGAACAATTCTGACAAAATACAGTCACAGCACTATTTGTTGTAAAATAGACTGTGAGTTCCATTTATGCAGAGTATTTTGTTATCACTAATGCATTGATGTTGTATCTGTAATAGTGTGTAAGCACCACATAGGTTGTCAAATAAAAACAGTTAAAGTATTCAGATTTTTACCAATAATGCAAAAATAACATTAAAACTACAATTAGAAATAGCCATGAACATAACACTACAAATTTCTAGTATCTCAAAAGATCATATACTTGCAGTTTAAAATAATAATAAAAATAATAATACATGGGGAGGACAGGATAGTGGATGGAACAGGGGCTGTGGAGAGAGAGCTGGGAGGGACATGCAGTAAAAGAGCCACAAGCTGGAGGCAAACTTGTGCTGGTCCCCTGAGGTGACACTGCTTGGCCAGTAGCATCTCATTTAATTGTATTTTCAATCTCTTAAAATTCCACTACTTTGCATTTTAAAAGGTTTTGATGATACAAAACAATCCATGTCAGTGTCTTGATTTAGTAATAAAATTAAAGCAACAAAATGTACATTATTATCTTGACTTATAGGTTTTTCAGTCCAATAAATGCTGCACTGCTCCACCACATTTGAAAATGTGATTGAGAGATAGGAAATGGTTTCAAAGTGCTTTTCTGTGAAATGCAGTTTTTATGTTATCAAGGATAACACTGTTACATGTCAACAAATATGCAGGAGTGCATGTACAGAATGTCAGATGAGTGTCAGTACAGTGTTGATGATTATGAACTCAATCATGTCAATTGATAGCGGTAATTTGCACTTTCAGGTCCTCTAGTTTGGCTGCTTTCTCTGCATTCAGCTCCCGTATTTGTAAAACTAAAGTTACCTATGATTACAACACCTGACTGGTCACTACATGCTAACATGAGGATGTCCCACAGATCTGAGTGTCAGGTCTATGGCGATTCACACTCTCCAGAACAGTGCTAGGCCGTCTTTTGTGATGTGGTTGCCTGTTGACATCATTCTGAACTGCTACACCTGTATGCTTAGCTCATACATAGTAGCTCACTCTCAAAAGTACTTCTGTATAATTGTTAGAGATTAACAGTGACAACTATACAATTCAGAGGTCTTACATTTGACTTTGAAGTCAGTCAATGGTCGTTAAAACTGTCAAATATATCAGAATCAGAAGACTTGATTTACTTTGTTAAATTTGGTATATGATAAAAAGATGAGGTGCAGAAATGTGTTTGAGTAGAGGTATGAAGTGGACAGTACCTGAGTTGCTTTGCACCCTGTTTCTGAGGTTACAGGCACATTTTTGGATGTGAGTAATGCTCAGGTTTTGCTGCATTGCACGGCTGCCAGACTAAACACAATGTACTAGTACAAAATGACTCTGGCTTAGGTAAACATGGTTGTCTGCAGATGAAACACTATCCATGCGCAAAAACATCTTCCCAACGTGTTGCTTTCCATCTGATACGAGGAAGCAGCGACGGTATTTGCACAGACTCCTGCTGTAAAAACATCTTGGCGTCAAACTGCATCCACACAACCGGCAACAGTTAATCACTGTAACCTGTCCGCTTTGTGTCCTTCTTGCACTTTCAACTGGACGCTTCTGTTGAGCCATTAAACCAAACGAAGGCCACGCTGAGATTGCTTGGATTTAAGTATTGCTTTTAACTTGTAAGAGAATTGGTGGCCCTCCACTGACCCGGCAAGCTTTAATTGGGATTGTGCAGGTATTGATCTTAAGTGGCCAGGCGAATCTTGAATTACAGCCTGATTAGCTTTTACCCGGCCTCTTGCACCAGCCAGTCGAAAGAACTCAATGTCATCTGGGTTGGAACACTTCAGCGGCCACTTAACTAAAGGGAATCTTGTTACTTCCTGTGTAGACAGGAAACATGTTTTCAAGAAGAAGAGTGACAGCTCTCGTGACGGTGATGTCCCCTCAATGAGCAATCACTTCCTTGAAGAGATAATCTGGAAAATCGCCATTTAACATGAACCTTATGTGTATATATGAGACGTAGAAGTCAGATTCCTTTCTTTATCTCTCCTGCTTCAATTTTATCACTTCTTCTCTTCCTTTATTGTTTCTCAGCAGAGATGATGACCTTTGTAAGGTTTGGATGGAAACAGTCATAGCAGCAAAGTAGCCCTTTTTCTCCATTATGGGCAGCTTCATCTGAGCCCCGCAGGCACCCAGCCTCAATATCCACCCTCTGTACCTCCAAAAACTCTGCCCTGGATCGTCAGCTTTTACCCAGCCTGCCCGTCTGCCCATATGTGTCATT